CAGTTGACGTAAAAACTTGCAATAGCTAATATTGGCAAGTACTCACGANAACGCATTACTGCTTCACGGCGGAAATAGACGGGGTGGTGGTACCTACCCGTGCGGACTCACAAGAGGTCCTACCACCAGTGATTACGCAAATTATAATTTTGCGGGTTTGATTTTTATTACACGATGTTATTCCTTCACCGTGGAAGTCAATCGTGAACATTTGTTGAGTACGTATTTCATTAGAAAAATTGGTACCCGCCTGCGGGATTCGAACACCGGTGCATCGCTTCAACACGAATGCACCGGACGTCTTATCCGTTAGGCCACGACGACTTAGACGACATGTCCTTACCGTTTCAGAAAGTTTTCACCCATTCCGAATATAAACACATGAAGAGTCCGTGCTAAATATCACATTGTAGGTGACCTTTAAACAATTAACAAAAACATATTCAAAATAAACGATAATATTTTCGGCTTTATTTTCTTTTGTTTCCAAATATTTTTATTTAATGTTTTTGCCATATCGTTGGTACCTTAATATTTTAAACGTTTTTACAAGGATGACAAGGGCAGAACAAATTATAGCAAAAAATAAGATTTAAATGGAACCAAAAAGATAAGTGCAAAATAAATATAAATCAATGAGCAAAATGTCCTCAAATGTGGATGATTTTGTTTATTCATTAAGTACCTATGTGTTTGATTTGCGTATGACCGTTTATTGGTTTTATTAGGTAATAGAAACTGATTCCAATTCTAATATATTGAATAATTTTAGAACATATTTTTATATGTTATCGAAACTTCCATCCTATGTCTGATTCTGGGCGGCATTCACACTGTGACTCCGGTGATCACCTAACACTAGCCCCTCCGTGAGTAGTGAGTAAATATAAGTATAAATATTTAGATAGCATTTTTTTGTCATTGTCTACTTTAATTCGAAGCATTAACTGCTTCTTGAGCATATTTAATAATCAAATAATATTTTATACTTTAGATACTGGTTTATTTAGACTATTAAAGTAATAACAGAATAATTAAAAAAAAAATTAATCAAAGATGTTAGGTAGGAGATTAATATGTATTTTAAAGAGGTTGGTAGTTAAATAACAGAATAAAAATAAAATATTAATCGTGAGTGATCTCAAAAGTTATATGTATTCCAAGAGGCTTTTCAAGTGGACCTTACTTCGACATCAAACAGTAACAAAAATTATTACAAAAGGTTTCAACATAAACTCAATAATACTAATTAGTGTTCGATAATAAATTCAAAATTCAAAATCATTTATTTCAACTTAGATGTCAGTATAACACACTTGTTGAATGTCAAAATATAAATAGCAATGTTAACTTTACTACCGGTTTCAAAAAAAAGCCACAGTCTTTTTTTTTTTTATGATTGAATGATTACTGGTGGCCCGGAGGCCTTTCCAGTTTCACCAGGACAGGTGGGCGAGCAAAGGCTCAGCCAGGAGGGGTGGGATTTGCTAACAGCTACCCGAGCGCCTCCGAAGGAGACCTAACAGCTCAAGAGTAGCTGCTTCGCGAATGAATCTACTACCGGATCGGAATCGCGATCCGTTGAGAAGATCCGGCGAGAAACTCAGCGAGCTGATTCATGGGTTAGGTTGCACGGCGAACTCTTTGTCGAGTTCGACGAGTACGGTTACCGAGGTCCCTAAGCCTGTCCTAGTGTTAGAGCTGAAGGCGTCTAATGCAAAGGTTATTGGATCTGATGGATCCGTAAGGACGTGTCTAGGGCGTCGACGGTGACTGGCTCCTGCGTGATCAGGATTCGGGGAGTAGTCAGCGGCAGCAACGATAAGGCGATTATCATGACGCATAGCCTTATCGAAGTACCGTTCCGACGCTGACTTCATGTATTTCTGGATAGATTCGATGCCCAGGTCGTCGTGTAGGTCAACGTTCCTCACGAACCACGGAGCTCCGACGGCTAACCTGCAAAAGCGGGATTGTAGAGATTGGAGGGTGTCTATGTGTGTGCGGGCCGCGTGAGCGAACACCACACTCGCGTAAGTCATGACGGGCCTTATGCAAGTTTTGTAAAGTGTCACCTTGTTCCGAAGAGACATTTTACTCCGCTTACAGATCATGGGGTAGAGAGTAACCTACCGAGAATAAACGCGGCACGGTCACGGACTGATTTTATATGCGGGCGGAATGTCATCGATGCATCCAGGGTAACGCCCAGGTACTTGACCTTCCTGGCCCAGGGTATGGGTTGTCTAAAGAGAGTAGTCGGGGGTGTGAGATTCCTCCTCCTAATCCGGGAGGAAATCCGTGTGGAGCTTCCCCTCTGAAATAGCACCGCAGTACTTTTCGCTGGGTTGATGTCTATGCGCCATTTTCGGAACCAATGTCCTAGGGCTAGGGCTGCACTCTGAAGCAAGTCCAACAACAAGTCCCTAATCGCGAAGAATCGCGATTAGGGACTTGTTTCTACTGGAATAGTAAACAGTCGTGTCGTTGGCGAATAAAGCTAAATGGGTCGGCGGCGACCGGGGAATATCGTTAACGAATAAGCTAAATAGGAGGGGTGAGAGGACAGAGCCTTGCGGGACTCCAGCTGTGAGAGGTCGTGGGGAGGAGCGGGTTCCCTCGACTCGATATCGAAAAGAGCGGTTCGACAAGAAGTCCCGTATGATGAGNTATCGAAAAGAGCGGTTCGACAAGAAGTCCCGTATGATGAGCACGAGACTATCCGGCACGCCCATGTTGAATAGTTTGAAAATCAAACCGTTATGCCAGACTTTGTCGAACGCTTTTGCGACGTCGAAGAAGAGAGCTCCCGTGTATAACGGTTTTGGTCGATTAAGCCCCACAAGAATGTGCTCCGTGAGGCGGTGCACCTGTTGAATGCATGAGTGATTTGTACGGAATCCGAATTGTTCATCGATGAGAATGCCCTTGGATGAGACGAAGTCTCTCAGGCGTTTGTAGAGCAGACGCTCATACAGTGGGTAATCGGGCGGTAGCTCGTTGGATGAGTTTTTGGTTTACCGGCTTTATGTATGCCGATAACGTCCGCTTCTTTCCACACCGCGGGAAAGATACAGTTCGCCATAGCGGCATTGAAAATAGATGCCAACATCACGATGAGTTGGATGGGTAAAAGTTTAATAACGCGGTTGGATATACCGTCGGAACCGGGAGCTTTGCGAGGACGTAGGTCTTTGATCAAGTCTTTAACTTCCATCGGGGTGACGGGTGGTAACGCATCCGAGGGTGGCAAGCAGACTCTGCGTTCTACCTCACTGTCTAAGCCACAGTCCTGAGAAGAACCGGCGAAACAAATTAGCGGGCTTTTCTTTTTTTTTTTTAAATATATATATTTATTTTTAAAAAATAAATTTAAAATAAGTAAAAATATTTGCAATAAACGAAAAAACAAGTCAAAAATACAATTACAAAATAATAATAATAATAATAATAATGAAAAATGAAAAGGCCAGGAGCGAACGCCTCATTCCCACGTAGTGCCATCTAGTAGATAATCCTTAACTTTATAATATGCCTTGTTGCGCAAACGTTCCTTGACAGTTTTCTTAAATCTATGAACAGGTAGTAATTGAACGTTTTGTGGGATCTTGTTGAAAAGTTGTATACCCAGCCCCCTAAAAGAGTTGCTTATTTTCTTAATTCGAGCCGCCGGCAACACAGGCCACGTACAATAAATTTTCAAAATGTATTGGGACGCTAAAGTTAGAATTTTGATTTTCTTCAACTTGTCCCTCAAGGATTCCCTCGGGTGCATATTATAAATAGCACGAATAGCCCTCTTCTGCAGGATGAAAATCGTTTCGACATCGGCAGCATTGCCCCATAGCAAAATGCCATAGGACATAACACTATGAAAATAACTGAAATAAACCAGACGTGCCGTATCTTCATTAATAAACGTTCGTATTTTTTTACCGCAAACGCTGCAGAACTATGTCTACTCGCTAACTTGCATATGTGAGGGCCCCACTGCAGCTTGGAATCAACTATTATACCAAGAAAAATTGTCGAATCCACAAGCTCCAGTGTCTCTCCACTTACAGTAATATTAGTGTCTACTTGTCTAACATTAGGTGTGGCAATACATTTTGTTTTTTTTGTTATTTAATAACAGATTATTAACACTAAACCAATGTACCACATAATCTTCCAATTGTCGTTTAATTTTAAACAATAAGGATGTATCGTCAGCGAATAATACGACCTTGTGACGGGTTTCAATAAACTTTGGTAAGTCATTGATATACACAAGAAATAGGAAGGGACCCAATATGGAACCCTGAGGAACACCCATACTAAGTAAGACACCGGAGGATCTCTTTCCTTTAACGTCTACCTTTTGGATTCTTCCGGATAAATAAGATTTAATAAGTTCTAATGAAACGCCCCTAATATCATAATGGTGTAATTTCCTCAACAATGTATTATGGTCAACACAATCAAAAGCTTTAGATAAGTCGCAGAATACCCCAGAAATTCTCCCTAAATCACCAGTTTTCTTAATATTAATGAGCTTGAAATTATCAATTTTGTCCTTTATATCAATATTTGTGAACTTAAAGCTAACATTGCATTTATCAACATGATCTTGCAGTAATGATTCGGTGACGGTGGGAGATGAAAGTAAAGATTTTGTAGTAGAAACTGGGATATCAGCAAAGTAGCGCTCAAAGGCACTGGCCACTTCTTGATGAGAAGTTGTTATTCTATCATTGATTTTCAAAGTTAATTTAGCATTGCTGTTTCTGACATTCCCAGTCTCCCTATTTTGTTGGGTGCATTTTTTATAAGTTTGCCTAAGTGCAATGACTTGGCCAATGTACAGACTTTTTTAAACAGCTTGGAATATTTAGAGACATACTCATGAAATGACTTAATATGATTATATGATTTTTCAAGGTAAAGATCATACAATCTCTGCCTACTTTTGTGAATTCCAACAGTCGCCCATTCATTGAATGATCTTTTATTATGTAAGATCAAAGTTTTAGAAGTAAAGATGGCACTAAATTCAGAATTAATGACATTAAATAAATCCATGTAGTGAACATTAGGATCTTCACTATAACAAACATTCGAAATATTTGCCAAAACTTTACCTCTAAGCTTCTCCAAACGTCTAATATTAATAGGAACAAACGGTAGGTTTCTTGAACTATTAACATCTGAAACAGATTTAATTTTAAAAGATAAGAATTGTCCACTGTGGTCTTAGCTTAAATGATTAATAACGTATTTATGTAAAGGTTTTACGTTTTTGAAAATATTATCTATACAGGTTGCCGATGTGCTAGTTTTTCTTGTGGGCTCTGAAAATAAATTGCTAAGGTTATATGATTTTAACAATGTACTGAATCTAATAGTGGCATTTGTATTTTCCAATAAATTTATATTAAAATCACCACAGATAAAAATATGTTTATTAGAAACAGAAAGCTTTAATAAAACACGTTCCATTATATTTTCAAAAGAATCATAAAACGAATTCGGGGGCCTGTACACACTTATAACAATGAATCGCTCAAGCTCTACACAGGCCATTTCAATAATCCGTTCCACAGAGAGGCTCACAATGTCTCTACGTTCCTTACATTTATAATCTTTATTAACAATGATCAGTGAGCCACCTAGTATAGCATTCTCTCTGCAGAAGGAACTCACAACCTGGTGATTTTTAAAATTACCATTTAATTCATATTTTTTAAGCCAATGTTCAGTTACACATAGAACATTGATTTTATTATAATCTAGGAACAAATCAATTTCAAGTTCTTTACCCAGCAAACCTTGTAAGTTCTGATGCACCAGGTTGATCACAGTTGTTTTCAAAGAAACATTATTTGTTGATGGGCTGTGTCCAAATAAATCATATTTACTGCCAGAGGTAAACCCTGTTGTCTTAGTATTTAATTTAAATTACTTGGAACGGATTCCAAATTAATAAATGTCATATTTTTTCCTGCNACCAAATTTGTACTAAAATAGGCATTATTTGTGAAGGTGTTTTTATAAAGATGATATTAATCCTTATCCAATAAAAACATTATTCATTACAAGTATTTAATTTAAAAGAAATTTGTACTTTACATCGTTTGATTTCAATGAAGATATCGCTATTTTAAAATAACATCGCAGCAAAATAATGATAAAGCGCGTAATAATGATGTACAAGGCGCCGGTCGGCCGGTGCGCACCCACATCATTTCAAGATAGGCTATAAAAATTGTAGATTTTTCTCGATTTCTCCAGGATTCCATCATAAGATCCTAATCCTGATGATTACAGGACCATTCGAGAAGTATACCCTTTCGAACAAAAAAAAATTATCAGAATCGGTTCGAGCATTCTCAAAAAATCGTTGGACATACATAGACAAAAAAATGGTGGTCGAATTGATAACCTCCTTTTTTGAAATCGGTTAACAAGCGTGATTTTGGTACTTTAAATAGCTCCTTAATATATTCTATTATCCAAAAATATTTTCATTTTTAACGTAAATGAAGTCAGGGGTAAAAGGACAATGCCCATTTTCTTTCGTCGTTTGGGCCCCTTAAAAAGTTGTCGTGTGATGATGGTTTTAACTTAACTAGTGGTCCCGCAGTAGTCGAAATTCGACTATAATTAATTGATATTACTATAAGTTTGAACACTATTATGGTTCTATTGTCAAAGACTATTAAACTTCTATACCTAATATTTTCTTCTCCACATTTTGGCTCCAGCACGGTTTGTGCGTTAGCCAGCGTCAAGTACTAAGATTTTTATAATCCACCGTTTTAATTATTTACAGTTTTAAATTAAAAAAACGAAGGAAACCCAAATTAATCAACTGAGATGATAACAAATGAAATAGGATGAGATGATATGGGATGAAATATAACATCAGTAAAATTATGGTTATTTACTGAGTCTTTTTCAGTGGACTTTTTGTAGGATCCCGAGAAGCCACGTCCAGCGACTTTGTTTCATTTTCCCACATTTGTGCACTTTCACAGATGTTAAACAGTTAATAAGCCACCTTTATTACACATGTCATGTCATGGCGCCGCAATTCCAAGGAGTATCCCTGCAACCTTCCGAGAGTATTGGGGTACTTGGGGTCGACATTTCGAGCGATGTCCAGTTTCGGAGTCATTTGGAAGGCAAAGCCAAGTTGGCGTCCAAAATGCTGGGAGTCCTCAACAGAGCGAAGCGGTACTTCACGCCTGGACAAAGGCTTTTGCTTTATAAAGCACAAGTCCGGCCTCGCGTGGAGTACTGCTCCCATCTCTGGGCCGGGGCTCCCAAATACCAGCTTCTTCCATTTGACTCCATACAGAGGAGGGCCGTTCGGATTGTCGATAATCCCATTCTCACGGATCGTTTGGAGCCTCTGGGTCTGCGGAGGGACTTCGGTTCCCTCTGCATTTTGTACCGTATGTTCCATGGGGAGTGCTCTGAGGAATTGTTCGAGATGATACCGGCATCTCGTTTTTACCATCGCACCGCCCGCCACCGGAGTAGAGTTCATCCATACTACCTGGAGCCACTGCGGTCATCCACAGTGCGTTTCCAGAGGTCTTTTTTGCCACGTACCATCCGGCTGTGGAATGAGCTCCCCTCCACGGTGTTTCCCGAGGGCTATGACATGTTCTTCTACAAACGAGGCTTGTGGAGAGTGGTAGGCAGCGGCTTGGCTCTGCCCCTGGCATTGCTGAAGTCCATGGGCGACGGTAACCACTAACCATCAGGTGGGCCGTATGCTCGTCTGCCAACAAGGGCAATAAAAAAAATAAAAAATTTAAACCTGAAGACAAACTAAACAGACAAAAATGAATAATTCACACAGCTTCGCTCTTCGTGTTCTCGACAAAAAGTCCAATATTATAATACAATCACAGATTTCGCCAAGACTACACTATAGACAAATATAAAGTCAACCAATATTAATTTCTGCGATTTGTAAGGTTTAAATGTGTAATAACGGTGGTTTATGAACTGTTTAATATCTGTGAAAGTGCATTAATGTGGGAAAATAAAACAAAGCCGCTGGACGTAACTTCTCGGGATCCTACAAAAAGTCCACTGAAAAAGTCTCAGTAAATAGGATAATAGGAGTAATTGTAGGACCTCTCTTGTGAGCCCGCACGGGTAGGTACCACCACCCCGCCTATTTCTACCGTGAAGCAGCAATGCGTTTCGGTTTGAAGGGTGGGGTAGCCGTTGTAACTATACTGAGACCTTAGAACTTATATTCTTAAGGAGGGTGGCGCGTTTACGTTGTAGATGTCTATGGGCTCCAGTAAACACTTAACACCAGGTGGGCTGTGAGCTTGTACACTCATCTAAGCAAGAAAGAAAAAAGAAAAAAACCATTTTACTGAGATTATATCTCATCCCATATCACCTCATTACACTTAATTTCATACCAATTGATTAATGTTTCAAATTAATTAACTTCATTTCATTTCACTTCATATTACCATTATTCAATAGTTTTTTTGCTATGAATTATTAGACTGTTTGGTATGATATCTTTGCCTTTCCAGTTGAAAAAATAGAACTACTACTACTCATAATGTTTGACAACAAAAGAGTATGCATGCGTGTGTGTGTCAAATACATGGTAGTGTGTGTAATGTTTTCTTTATTAATTTAATGTATCTTTTATGCATTATTTAAAAAAAATATTAGCATTGTGCATTATTTCTCTTTATTCTCTATAAGTGTGGGAAATGTTTTCGAGCAAACAAAAAAGTCTCACAAGAAAGCCACATATCTCTATTACTTTTTTTATTTCTACTCTTTTTTCTCGAAAATTAGAGTTTTCAGATAACAAATTACACAAAAAACACTCCATTATTATTTTGGAGCACAGATTGCTAATCAAATTGGTTTTCGAAAGACGTTGAAGAAGATACAAGGTTGACTAAAAACAACTTTACGTGGTATGATCACAGTAAACAATACTGTACGCATGCGTTTGTGAGCAAGGATAATAGTGTGCCTCAGCTCCAATAGCAAAATGTACGAAATAATATTATTTTTAATTTCATGAATTTCAACTATGTAACTGGAGGACTGGAATAACGTACCACGCAATTTGTAGGACAATGTGGGTGGTAAACTATGCAAATGTTAGCTAACCAATAAAAAAAATCAGCTAGTTAGTAATTATTTTTTATGTCCTTGTTGGAGGGGGGACTCTCTGTTAAAACCTTATATTTTGTAGGACAAACATTTTTTCACGTTATTTATATAATGATCTCGATAATTAACAAAGAAAAATTCGGTTCGTATTAAATTTTTAAAATTCGTGAATTTAACATATTTTAACCTTGCTACCCCTAGTAAGCTACCATTTACCATTACCAACGTTACTGTAAGGAAAAAAGTTGGACGTCTAGTCAAAAGGAAGCTACTCACGAAAAATCAGCTTGTTAGTAATAAATGATGAAAACCAGGGATCCTGTACTAATAGATTTGATAGACAAAGAAATATCGTTTCATATTCAGAAAACGATTTTTATATTCTCACCCAGGTTTAAGAGAAATCTGATTTTTTCTGCAGCTAAAATTAAATTGTTAATTGTTTTCTTCGAAATCAATAATCGCTCTCATCATTAGTTACAGTGTTAAATAAGTTAATTGTGGTAAATCTAATGTTGCTAGAAATAAGCCCTTATGTACATTTTATTATTATTATATCCTCATAACAATAATAAAATGAAGGTGGTTTCTAAGAATGGACTTCATAGAACCATATTCTTCATAGAACATAGAGTTCTTTTGGAACTGAAAATCCGGAAGCCGGCAACGTTGTTGTTGTTTTTATATTCGCCAATAGGCAGGCAAAGAGCGTAGCCTATACAGCCTAGTCTGTCGTAGTTATATTATTTTCATGTCAATAAAAAGCCGGTGTATCTCTTTTTATTGCTTTTTGGGAGTTTTGACGTCAACGAATAGCACATTAACTGAGAATGAGATGCCGCAGACCTTTTATCTTGAAAAAAAAAAAACAGTCACTGCTATGTTAGCCACAGTTTTATTCCAATGCCTCAATAATCGTGAACAACGATTATTGACGTTTAATACACAAAACAACACCCAATTTATATATCATACATCACAATTAACTATTAAAAAACAATAAAATAAAACTTCAAGTGACGCTTCACTCGGGTGGCTGTCAAAACTCTCTTACCATAGATAATAAGAATAAGTAATGGTGGGCCATTGAGATTTTCACTATAGTGTGCGCGGAAGCGCTAGTCACCGCCTGCGGTATGTGAGCAGGGCGGGCGAGGTAGACAAACGTCAAGCTAACTCAGTCAAGCGTGACCAGATTTAGTAGATTTCTACTTTTTTGGTAGACTTTGAGGTACTGGCAACAAAATTTAGTAGGTATGTAAAGATTATTTAATATATTTTAGTAGAATTCAGCTTTTCAGTTATTCTAGTACTTTTTGGCATAACGGATAAATTCGGGGTATTCTTCCTTTCGTCGAATAGATTGTAACTATTTAATTTTCATTCTTTTCGTTACCATTCGTGCCGTGGGCATAGTGTGATAGACCAGTGGGAATTCCTTCATTGATAATTTTTATAATCGAGTTTAAAATGAAACATAAATATACACAAGGATATCGCGATGTCCCATTCATCACGATATCCTTGTAGTTGCAACAGAAAACATGCA